GGGGGGGGGGGGGGGGAACTCTGGGACAGGGCGTGGAAGGAGGGCAAGAAGAGGGCAGGAGGGAGGGCAGGAGGGAAGGTGGAGAGGGCGAGGAGAAAGGGCAAGAGGAAAGGAGGGAGGGAGGAGAAGGGGGGGGGGGGGGGGCGCCTTGCGGAAGAGGAGCTCGCCCGCATCGTCGTACACGGAGATCGTGGACGCGCCGCCACGGAGGCTGATGTTCGCCTCCAGCTCGAGGTCGTTCTCGAGGCGGACGATGTCGTTGTCGGCCGTGAGGTAGACGGCGTGGCCGGTGCCGTACGGCGTCCTCCAGGTGTGCGTGATGTCGCCGCTGGAGGCGTCGACCAGGTAGACGTCGGTGGAGGTGTGCGGCGTGATGAGCAGGTAGCCGGGGTCGGGCTCCTCGCTCTTGAGGAGGCCGACAGTGCTGCTGCCGGAGGCAAGGCACGTGCCCGGCACTGACGTGCCGTCGTTGATCTCCTCAAATGTCCCTGCCGCCGCCTGGGCCTCCTCTGTCATCGCCGCCTCCGCCGCCTCCATGAGTGAAGCATTGGTGCAGAAGTCTTCACCCGGCGACAGCGGGGGCCCGGCGGGGGGAGCCGGCGGTGACGGCGAGGCGGACGGCGGCGGCGGAGAGGGCGAGGCGGAGGGAGGCGGCGGCGACGGAGATGCGGACGGCGGCGGCGGCGACGGCGAGGCGGAGGGCGGCGGCGGCGACGGCGACGCGGGGGGAGGCGGCGGCGACGGAGATGCGGACGGCGGCGGCGGCGGCGACGGCGAGGCCGACGGAGGCGGCGGGGACGGCGACGCGGAGGGAGGCGGTGGCGACGGCGACGCGGAAGGAGGTGGGGGGGAGGGAGAGGCGGAGGGAGGCGGCGGCGAGGGCGATGCGGACGGCGGCGGCGGCGACGGCGACGCGGAGGGCGGCGGCGGCGAGGGCGAGGCCGACGGAGGCGGCGGCGACGGCGACGCGGATGGCGGCGGCGGCGACGGCGAGGCCGACGGAGGCGGCGGGGACGGCGACGCGGAGGGAGGCGGTGGCGAGGCGGGGTCCTCGG